AGGAGCCTCCTCCCCCTCGTCCTCCGTAGCAGGGCGTCCCCCAGTGGGGTCTCCGAACTCTTCTTCCAAAAACTCGATGTCCAGTTCGGAGTGCCTCTCACGGAGGCGAGACATCATTTCCTTTGCCGCCCAGGAAGCCTAATAGTTGGCGAAGTCATCATACTCTGGCGTGTTTTCAAAATTGTACTTGTAATTTAGGACTGCCACTTCGCTAACCGTCTTCACCTCAGCTTTCAAAGAATCAATCTCTTCAACCTGGGCCTCGGAGAGCTTCTTCAATTCAGCCTTCTCCTTGTTATCCTCTCCCAGAGCCTCGGAAGCGAGCCTTTGATGCTTGTTGGATTGATCAATCCTCTTGGTCAAGGCCGCCACTTGGGAGACCTTGGCTTCCCAAGTCTCGGAAGCCTTCATCGTCTCCTCCAACTCGTCGTTCATTTTACGGAGGCCTTTGACCAGTTCATTCGTCGCAACGCCCATACTTAGGGCCCTGACCACACACGCATTATTCGCAGCCAACAGATCCTTTACTTGACACGATGCGGCGTGATTTTGCCAATCATCGATCCAATATTTTCCATGGATCCCGGCTGCAGAGACTGATTCGGAAGGCAGCATTTCCAAAATAGCCTCAGGGAGATCCTCTTCTTTACTCCACAAAAAATTCGTGGACTTGCCTCGGGTCGGAGCTACCGCATGCCTTTTCAGTCTCTTTTTGGCTGGGCCCTCAGCAAAATAAGCAGTGATTGGCACAATGGACTGACGAGTGGACAAAGAAGCCGCAACAGTCACCCCAGCACTAGGTGGAGGAGAAGGATCGACATCAGATCGAGCAGAGGTGAAGCCCCGATTGGGCTGGCTCTCTTCTTCCTCGGAACGAGGGAGGCTCCTTCCTCCATCTCGTTCTCCTCAGCAGGCTGTTGCCCAGCTTTACTGAGGGATAGAAGACGCTTTAACTACTTCTTGTATGCAGCTGAGCTTGTTTTCAATGCCTTCGCCTCCGCGATAGATCTGCGGATACTAGAGAAATTGAGCCTTAACGCCTTCTCTTTCACAAAGTCTCCTGTAAACAAGGCAAACTGATAAGTACTTGAGGCAAAAGCAAAAACACAGAAAGAGCTGAAGCAGAGTATTTACCTTAGTTCGACATCAGTCGTGGGCGACGAAGTGGGTGTTCTTGTCGATGATTTCTTTATAGCTCTTTTTCTTTGGAGGTAGCTGGTAGAGCTAGCTTACGATATCCCACTCCTCCTCCGATATCTCACACCTCGACAAAGAGCCTACAAGTGATGTATATTAAAAACATGAGCAAAATACACAAGTGAAATCAACTCGAGAAATGAACTTACTGTAAGTTGAGTACGAAGTGGGCACAGTAAGAGGCGCCATGGGGTCGTCCTCCATAGTGTCCCACCTCCCGGCTACCCAGAACCAGGAGCTCCTCCAGCCCTTTATAGAAGTAGGAAGCCCAGTTACAAAAGGAGTGTGGGACCTCCATGGCGCCAAATAATACCAACCCTTCATCTCGTCTCCTCCAGCCACACACTTAGGCAGAACACATGGAATGGAATACACTAAAGGGCATATCCACCCCGATACTAGCTCTTCGCCACAACATCCATGTCCCTACCATCTGAGACCAGGAGTTAGGGTTGAGTTGCGTCGGGGCCAACCCATACGACCTAAGTACTAACCTGAAGAAGGAGAGCCTAAGGCCCGCCTTAAGTAAACTCTTGCTCACAGCCACACACCCTGGCATCGGATAGCAGGCCCTCTTATGTGACTCCGGTACTATCAACTCTATACTATCAGGGATCCTAAAAACGACTCTACACCTCTCCAGTATCTCTGGGATAATTTTAGAGGGGTACTTAGAAGCCTCCCATTGAACCGAAGTGTCCACGGGAGAGGCTGGGTATCTCCAAATGTTCACCCCGGCCCTAATAGCCCTACTCAACTCGTCCGAAGATACCAATATTGGCTCCAATAGAGTAGAACTCCCTTCACCTCTTCTCCCCTCACTCCCAGAGGCACTAATAGACTGTTCGCTCGCCATCCCATAATTTTTAGTAGAATCTAAAGTAAAAGATGAGGAAAGCGAATCAAGTTTTGTTACCTAGTTCAACAGCTGTCGGAGTTCGCAAGATCAGTAGCCGGAGTTCTGGACAGTGGTTGGAGAAGGAAGCACGAATGCAGGGAACGCAAGAATTATTTAGAGATTTTTTCGCAAAAGTAAAAGTTTCAAAATGAAGGGATGGGCCTTTTATAGGCATTTCAAACTCACCCCAGTCGTCGGATCACCCAACTTTCATCTAGGCGTCCAAAGTTGAGGCACAAAGATCTCCGTTAATGCCAAGGGTCATTCGAATCAACGACCTTGATGAAACAGTGAGGTACACGCGCGACCCTACCATGTCGCCATCATTACCATTTATGGCAAATGGGACGTGCCTTGAAGCCAGCAAACTTCCCCCATGATTACATTGAGAAGACGCGAAAGCCTTCAAATCATTGACACAAAACCCAAAGCTGTCCCTTCAGAGCTCGTTACTTCAGAACCTATATCGTTTCGGCCACTACAGCTTAGCGTTGCAACAGCTCTCCACAGATTTGCTAACCTATATCGCTTAGGCCACAACAGCTTAGCGTTGCAACAGTTCTCTACAGAGTTGCCAACCTATATCTCTTCGACCACCACAGCTTAGCGTTGCAACAACTCTCCACAGAGTTACCAACCCATATCACTTCGACCAGAGCAGAATATAATGTTACAAAGACTCCCCTCGACTTGCCAACCCGCATCACTCTGAGTGTCCACCTCCGGCGTTCGTCCCCATATGCCCCGACTCAGCAATTGAAACTAAAGTCCTTGTACTAAATAAATATTCGTACATGGACTTGCGAGACAATTGTTACAGGTCGGTGTCGACCCTCCACCTTGAAGCCAGAGGTTATCCAACCGTGACACGCGTCGCAGAGGTGATTACCCCATGGGATGATCTGAGTGCGCACACCGAAGTAATTACGTGAGGGACGAACTAAATAGGGGGCAACGAATGAACTGGACTCATCCGCCAACATGTCGCGGATGCAAAGGCCCGCACTCCGCTTCTATAAAGCTGCGATGCCTCACCTGCCTCGCCTCATCAAAGATCTCTTGTATAAAGATCATTCCAAAGTCAAATCACTAACTGATGGAATGCGTGGCAGGACTCAAACGGTCAAATCAACTGCTCTTGTCAGAAATGTTCAATGCCAACCAACCTATGGAGAGATGAATTGATACCTAGGATGTGACGAACTCTGGAGATCTGGCAACATGTGTCTCCTCATCCAACGGCTCTCTCTTCCCCATCCTTGGTATAAATATTCACTCCTTATGCCTGAAGAATGATTGGAATCCAATATACTCCAAATTATTACTATATTGCGAAATTGAGTATTCTCCTTCCTTAAATATTAGCACTTGTCGATATACACTTTGTCAACTACTTCCCGGCGAGTGTTCCACCTCCGGTGAACTCCTTTCCGGTTGAAATTTAAATCGACTTGACCGTCGGAGTGCTTGCGGTCGCTCCCAACCCTTCCGGGGAAGGTCACAAGTGACTTAACGGTTTGCCACGTGTGCAAGGAAGAAGTGACTCGAAAACATTTTCTGTTGGCCATATGTCGAGCCATTTTTCGAGGTCAACATTTGTCATACATATTCTATCGTTTATGTTGTGCATAGAAATTCAAAGTAAGATTTTTGGATATTATCAATAATAATAATATATCAAATTCATAAAGGCATTGAATTTTAATCTATATCCTAATGTTTTACATATTATATTCTATCGTTCAAGTTCAAGATGTGCATAAAAATTGAAAGTTGAATTTAACTGAGCCAGAATACGAATGAGTAGCTTTCAAGATCAATTGGATAGAATATGTGGTCGAGCATCTTCAATTTACATTAAGGATCTCAAAATTTTTTTACCACATAAGGAGAAATAAATAATGTTTAAAATTTTTATCTCCAATACAATGTGACAAATGTTAAAATAGACTTTGTCTATATCTCCATCTAGAATTAAAAACTCCGTTAAATATATTGACCTAACAAAATTTATATCTTATCGAAAGCTCCGTCTAGAATTAAAAACTTCATTAAATATGTTGACCTAAGAAAATTACATTTTTTATCCAAAATTAGTTATATTTTTTCTATCGAATATCAATTCTAAACTTGAATCTCTATTCATTAGGAAAATCGTACTTTCAAATGCTCTCATTGTCAATTCAAATTCCCTCTGCGAATCAAGAGTATCTCAGTTTGGGAAGATTTATAAACAATTTAATTGTAAATAAATAAAATGAGTAATAAATAGTATTTATAATAAAATTTGAATCAAAATAAATAATTGATTTTAATCAAATATTTCATGAAATTCACACCTTTCAATTCCATATTCATAAATTTTTATTAAAAATACAATTATTATATAAAAAAATATTTATAAATAATTCATAAATTTTGCCAAATTGTTGATTCCAACATTTTTAGCCCCAGTTTGGTTTGGCCCACATTATTAAAATTTTTAATGGTTGGAATAGTTTTTTTTAAGCATGTGTAGTTAAAAAAAAAAAATTTTAAAATTACGTGTAATATTATTTTATTTTAGTGAAAAACGTATAATTTTATGCAAAGAGAAAAAAATAAAATATAATTTTAAGTTACAACGGGACTTATATCCAGTCTGGGATTTGCAGCCATTCTTGACTTCTTGTTTCACATGTGAAACCAGTGGTGGAAAGAAACGGTCAATTTTTGGATTAAAATCTGCTTAATATTTGTCCCAGACACCTTTAGTATAGACATTTTCCCTTTGAGTTATGGTTACTCGTCGAGTCCCTCTCTACTAGCAGTCGTTAACCATAAATTAAACCTCTTATCCCTTCCTGCCTCTCAAACCAAACCTTGAAACTTTGGGGGAAAACACAGACAAAAAACGCACGATCCCATGGCAAAACCTCAATTTTTGTGCCTCCTCTGGCTTTCTCTCGTCTCACTTTCCTTCTCATCGTCAATTTCAACATCAAACCCTAAAGTCCAATTGAAATCTGGGACCGGGGAAGCCCATCAGGAGCTTATTAAGTATGGATTCCCCATAGGACTCCTTCCGACCGATGTGCAGTCGTACACTCTTAATAGCACCTCCGGCCGCTTCTTGGTCATGCTGGGGGACACATGTCGCGTGACGCTGCCTCCCGATAACTACCTGGCCACCTATTCCAAGAAAATAACTGGAAAAATCGTGGATAGTCGCATCGCGGAAATCGACGGGATCAGTGTCCGGGCATTCTTCAAATGGTGGGGCATCACCGGCATCAGATCAAATGGTCAGGATTTGGTCTTTGAGGTTGGCATGCTCTCTGCCAAGTATCCTTCCAAGAATTTTGATGAGGCTCCAGACTGCGAGGGCAGGCGCGCATCTTCATAAAGGTGAATAATATCCATTGTTCAGTTAGTCGACTTTTTTATTTTGCTGATATACTGATATATAATAGCTTGGTAAATTGTTTTGTTTTTAAAAGTGTGCTATTACGTGCTACCATCGTAAATCTGCTTTAAACATAAAAGTTGATGTTTGGTTGGTTGGAATTTTAATGTTGTATTTTGAATTGTTCATAGTCGTGAACTTATTGTTACAAGTACTTTAGACCATGTTTTGAATTTGTGAAATAAATTTCAAAATGCTTATCTGCATCACGATTGACATGGGGTTCAAGTGTGTTTAGGTGAATTACTTAGACATCCTTCTTAAGTATTTTTTGATCTCATGCACTCCCTCTAATTCTCAGAAATACTCTGAGCTCCTCATTATACTAAAGGGGTCTAACTTAAAAGATCACCACTTTAAGTAACTTATATTGTTTATTTTAATGTTTTAACTTTCTTGGCACTTGTAGTCTTGTACAAACAAATCAAGGCGCATTAACTGCAGACATGTTCAAGCTCAGAGCTCATCGTATGCTTTACCTGAGTCCTTCGCACCAGCACCTTTGATTAGCAATAAGGATTTAGCACATAAACACACTACTAGCTAGCTGTGCTAGAGCTCAACATATAGTACTTAGGGTTTAACACAAAGAACAATCCTCAAAGACCAGGTTACTGTCTTTTAAACAAAATATATAATACCTGCAACCATCACTTGCCTTTGAACCCATCTAATCTGTATACTTGTTTTCCACATCACCATTAGTTTGTTGTTTTCCATATCCTCAGGGCCCGTCATTCCTCCATCTGTTCTCATCTAATTGTCACTATAAATCATCCCCAACTAGTGGTGACCATTCCCATTTATTACGAGTGGGTTGTTGGTTTTGGTCGCATTCACGACCTCCCTGTCACCCTCAAACTATATTAATGGTCACCATAAACAATTGGATCGACAACGTATAATCTTTCATGTACGTATATCATTTCGTCTATGGGTTTGTGATGGAGAACGCGAAGTACTAAATTATATGGAATTATGGCCTATATGAACTGCAATTTAATTTACGATTGTTTCTTTTTGAGCACATAATTTATATTTGTTTCGTGTAACTGGTGACTGTTGTTTGGAATAATTTTAGGCCTTGAATAGGATATTTTGCAATTGTTTCTTGTTTCTCCGTTGAAAACATTTCAAAGAGGCTGTAAATCACTTTTTGTAATGTGCAAGCATAATTCAAAAAATGATTCACTTATCATGGTATAAAATCATAATCATTTTTTCTTCTATTGTCTGCCCTTAATGGTTAGCATCAGTCCCTCTGCTTTGCCCTCGATTGCCAAACTTTGGGCCTAAGAGCATCATTGATATTTTCTTAACGTTCATGGCTGCGGTCCAAGAAGTGGGGTCCAAGGCCTGACAAATGTTATCAGAATAGATCCTTGGGGTATTAATGGGGAGCAGAGGTTGAAGACAATGGTGTGAGGCTGTGGGCAGTGGTTCTGGATGCATACTGGGAGTGGTCTAGGACAATGTTGTTTAGCTTGATGGGAATGATTTTAACGCCCATGTGTCGTTATTTTCCCACATGGTTGTGGGGAGTTGGATGTAACAGTTGACAAGAGTCGTGGGTACAATTGGTAGTTTGGTTAACCAGTTTAAACGCAAAGTTGGTCCCAGTAATATTTCTTAAAGAGTAAAATTTAGGGCTTGAATGTGGATCTAATAGTGACACTTCAATATCTTGTTAGATAAAGAATAAGCCAACATATTACCTGTATGAAAATTTTTGGTGCATAGTATTAATTTACTTCTTTGTTCACATTCAAATAAAGAATGCAAGAATAGGTTGTATTGCACACCATCATTTGTAAGGTTGAAAATCTAGGAATTCTATTTGACCTCCTTATGGAACTAACTGTTAATGCGTATATATCATCACTCACTATCTCGTCCCAAACAAAGTGAATCAACGTCAATGTGTTTCGTCATCTCACGAAAGATTGGATTGGACGCAAAATGTAGAGCAATCTGGTTATCATAGATAATTGGAATAGGGATAGAAGGTGAGAGATTGATTTCTTGAAGAAAGTGTTGCAATCATGTCAATTCACTAGTAGTAGGAGCCGTTGTCCTATATTATGCTTCTACGCTTGACCTTGCTACTATGGTTTGTTTCTTACTTCTCCAAGAGACAGGATTACTACCGAGAAAAAAATAGAAATCAGTAGTGGATCTTCTATCTATGGAGATCCCACACAATCTGCATCTGTAAACCCCTCTACTCTAATATGTCCATTTGGTTTATACAATATTCCAAGAATTGGAGTCTTTTTCATATACCAAATAATATGTATCATAGCTTCCCAATGAGAAACACGATAAGCATCCCAGAACTGACTAATGACACTAACTGCATAGAAAATATTTTGTCGTGTGATGGTAAGAAATTCAATTTTCCAACCAAACTACGTTATTTTCCTGATTATCCAAACAGTTTTCCTTCATTCTTTAAAAGCTTCACATTAGGATCCATGAGAGTATCAACTGGACAAGTTCCAAGAAAACATATTTCATCTAACAGGACAAGTAAATATTTTCTTTGAGATAAGTTAATACCTATCCGAGACCTAGAGAGTTCAATATCGAAGCTTGCCTATTCTTTGGTCTGAAAATATTTTTGTAGAAACCGTTTTAACCGAAAAATCTCATCTGTATCATCACCAATGATTACAATATCATCTACATAAACTACAAGGATAACATAGCTTGCACCAGTTTGTAGATGAAATACTGATTCATCTGACACCTTTGAATACCAAATTTCAGAACAACTTAAAAAATGTTAGAGGTTTATTATTACTGCTAATTAGTTACTAGTTTCCTTGTAAATGATAGCTAGCTTCCATGTATACTTTGTATCCTTAATTAATCTTATAACATTCTATAAAGCAAAAAGCAATATACACGAGAAATATTCCGCAAAATTGGCATGGTAACAGAGCCTTAAAATTACTTAATCGTGTGTGTGAATTGTGGTGTTGGCTCTTTGTTCATAGTAATTGGTGGTCAATGTCTCACGCAACAATCGGCAGGCTGCAATCGCCTCTCTGTTTATAGTAATCTTCGGTCGGAGCTTGCGTCTCAAGCATCATCGATGACTAGTTCTCTGTTCTCGTCGGCATCCTCTGCTTATTTTTTTCAACAAATGGTATGGTGACGGATGGGATCATAGTCCTTGGTGGCTTAGATCGTCGAGTATAAACTTGTAAGGTTAAGGTGGTTCCTCATGAGAGGAGGACAACTCTGGTGCAGTAGCTAGAGACGAGCTTGGTTTTGGAGAAATCCCAACCGATGGATTTGGAACGGGTAAGCTAACAGGATCTTGAGTAGATTCGAGAGAAATACTATGATCAAAGAAATAAGGTATAGACTCGTAGTGTCACATCTGCACTTACAAAATATCGTTGTAGAGAAGGATTGGGGAGATGACCAAGACCAAGGTAATGACCATGTCTAAAGTAATGAACATAACACACTCAAAAACCTTGAGAGGTAACGAGTATTTTGGAGAGGAGGAAAACAGAAGGGAGATGTATCGTTCAAAATAGAGGATGCCATGTGATTAATGAGATAGCATACAGTAAGGACATCATTACTCCAAAAATGTTTACGGACACGCATATGACAAAGAAGAGCACGAATAACTTTTAACAAATGACAATTTTTGCGTTGTGCAACTTCATTTTGTTATGGAGTATGTGCGCAAGATGTTTGATGAGTAAAGCCTTTGGAAAAGAGAGATGATACAAAAAAAGCTGACATAGCCCCTATTTGAGCCAAATTATTGTAGAATGAGAATGAAAAATATAGCCGTTATTAAGGTCTACACAAGAGATAGAAAATTTAAATTCACCTTTTCAACTTGTTTCCCTCTTTCCCTGTTTGAGCCAAATTATTATAGAATGAGAATGAAAAATATAGCCGTTATTGGGGCCCACATAAGAGATAGAAAATTTGAATTTAAATGTTGATGTGATGGATAACGGTTATATTTTTCATTTTAATGAGATAATAAGGTGGTTCAAACGGAGCCATATTCTTTGGCATTATCGGATCCCAAATATGGATTTTCTGGTTAAATTAAGTTTTAATCGAAGTACGAAAGACTTGATATATAGAAAGTAACTCAAATCGATTTTTCATTAAAAATAACCATGTCATATGAGAATAATCATCCACAAAAGAAACAAAATATTGAAATTTGTTAGAGGAAATATTGATTGGTCTCCATACGTCAAAATGAAGTATCTCAAATAAACTAGAAACACAACTTAAACGAAAAGACACAGGGTGACATTTGCTAAGCTGACAAGCTTCACATTCAAGGGAGGACACATTACGAAGACTCGAAAGAGAATGGTGGCAAAGACAACAATGTCATTGCATGGGTGAAACCGAAGATTGGATAGCTCGAAAAGGAGAGACGGGTGAAAGATTCTTGTAATACAAGCCACCAACTTCATGCCCTATACCAATCATACTCTTCATCTTGAGATCTTGAAAAACACATAAGGATAAAATGTTACATAACATTGAAGAGTTGTCGTAAACTAATAGACAATAAATTAAAGGGAAAGTCAAGGATGTGAAGAATAACCGACAAATCAATATTAGGACTAAGATGGTCACTGCCTGAGCCTACAACACTAGTTTGTGGACCTTTAGCAAGAGTGACACATTTAGCCCTTATTTGATCCCCATTATTTTCAAAATATATTTCTGTTTCTTATTTTCAATCACATATTTTTCAATAAAATAATATTACACGCAACCAAAACTTTTCCTTATTTTTTAACAACACATTCTCCATCAAAATACTATTCTAAAATGCATTTTGAGCCCAAAAAAATGGCTCAAACAGGCTCTTAGTCTTTGTTCGGGTTTCATTTTTCAACTAAAAAGTTACTTTTCAAGAAATGATTGATAGATAAGTTGGTAATACTCGTGGGTCATGTGGATTGTATGGTTAAAGTTTTACTTTGAAAAGTAACTTTTAGTAAAAAAAAAAAAGCAAAAACCCAGAAAGAGACTGCGCTTATACAATTTATGAATTTCTTATGAATTTAGGTCTAGTATGCAGCACCATGTTACTAGTGTGTGGACCATTGCTTTTCCAATGATAGCATATAGATTTGAACTCAAGCGTCCGTAGAATGTAGGTGCACAATATTGGATGAAATGATTGGCAGTTTGGTTGCATAATATGGTATAGGTATGGATTCCATGACAATCCATCAATTTAGTAGTTGACATGGGAAAAATGTGGAATGAAATTGCCATGGGAAGAAGCAAAATTTGCACGAATATAAAGAGTGGCTCACGATTTCAAAGCAATAAAATTGATTTTGAGCTATAAAACCAAGATTTCCAAGGCACGTAACGAAGCCCATTTAATTAATACTCCTTAAAAATACATCTAAAATTATTAATATATATATTTTATGTTTGTGAGATGTATCCACGTACTCATTTCCAAATTTTGGATATGTATGCACTCTCCGACACCCATACCTGAGTCCAAGCAATGTAGGTATGTGCTGCAACCTTTTGCTAATGAGTTGGCAACATATGAAACTGTCATTTTTTGGAAGAGTTGGAAGTAAAAAGTTCATGACTTTTGTCTAAGATGCATGGATTTAGCTTAGGGAATTCGTGAACTTCATGTAACACGTGGAAACAAGCCATTGTGCATTTATGTTTGCTGTTTTGATGAATTTGGGCTTATAGGTTAGAACCTAAGTATCTAAAAAAATGCAGAATATCTCATAAAAGGTAGGAAAGCCATCTTTATCCTAAAATTAGTTAATTTATTGACTTAATACAATGTTTGGATGTTGAACTGCCTATTATGTGATTGCTAGAAAACCCGTGGAAGTGGAAAACATAGAGACATAAGAATACAGAAATGGAGGTGTGGGGTTTCGAAGGATTTGGTGTTTTTCAGGTTTACAGGTTATGATTTTCTTAATTTTTTTTTGTTTGAGCCTGATCATATCAAAGTGCACCATAGTATTCTCGTTACCGCTTCATTGGAGAGACTTAGTTATTCCCCAAGGATGATCAAGAATCTTTTTGATATCGGTGGAGTATTACGATCTTTAGCTTTGAATCTTGACCACGCCGTGATTAAATATCTACTTTCACTTGTGTATCTGAAGGTCCATCTCTATTTTGTAAATGTAACTCGATTTTTGGATCAGATGCTGTCATAACATGAGAAGATCCATATGGTGGTGCTCAATGGCATGTGCCAGAGCTTTGTTATGTATGGAGCCGTTCAGTGTTATGAAAAGCATTAGATACCAAACTGATCTTCTGTATCCATTTTAGAAATTTTTGAGTCAATCCTTGGTACAGTGTTGGAGGACTATGTAGATCCGTCTTACATAGCCCTTGTTTGACATCCATTTTTTCTCATTCTCATTCTCATTTTTTTTTTCTTTCTTCATTTCAACCACACATTTTATCAATAAAATGATATTACACATAAACCCAAAAATTAACTTACTTTTTAACCACACATTCTTCCATCAATCACTATTCCAAATCAAATTCTTCTTCAAAATTGGTGTCAAACAAGGGCATAATTATATGGCACCAAGTTTGATCATTTTTTGTTTTCCATCTGCAGTCATCAGGGCCTCCTTTTAACTGCTTGTTTGGGCTGTATCACGCATTCAACTGGAGCAGGCAGGACGCAGTGGGCTAATCAAGTTATCACTACCAAATCATTTTATGTGCATGCATAAGTTGGTTTGTTAGTTTGTATTGTAAATACGTGATGATGCTTTATGGAAATGGATACTTATAAGATGCTAAACTCTTTTAATCACAAAGACGGTCTTAGTCCTCTCTATTTTAAGCAGCTTGTAATTCTATTCTAGCTAAAATGTCCAGTTGGAGTTGTTAAACAATTGCCACGATGAAAATGAAGCAGTTCTTATTGTGGTTGAATAATGTTACTTTGCCCAAAAAAGTGACATAATGGTTGACAAAATGGGCGTTGGCAAGATGTGATTGGTTGAAAAAGCTGATTGTGCTTTAAACAGTCCAATGATAGGTTGTCATGTGGCATTATGTCAATGATTATGTCAACCATTATATTCATGTAGCATGATTGATTGTGGTTTTGGTGTAAATTGTGGTATGGTCTTATATATGGATTTTGCTATATATACATCAAGATTTACATAATGGATACATAATACGTTATGGTACTATACCATTTGCCAATTTAAAGCATAATTAACTTTTTCATTCAATATTTTCCCTTCACATCATATTATGTAATTCATTATGTATAATTTTTTATTACAAATAGCAAAATCCCTTATATATTACTGCAGATGTCTTATTGTTGCCTTCTACAGGCACTTTGTTAACCTTTGCTATTCCTTTGTGAGTAAAGTGCATGAGACTAGTTGTATTGTTTTAGGTTAATTTCAATTTTGGTCACTCAACTTTCATGGAAATGTCAATTGGGTCACCAGACTTTAATATGCATGAACTTTGTAACTCCATTAGACGCATGTGAATGTTAAAATGTAATGGATTGCTAATGGGTCTCAAATTCTAACTTCCGCTAATTCTTTTATCAAAATTTATTAAAAAATTGATTTTAATTCACATCAAATAGGGGTTGTATTGTACCTTATCATCATCAGTATGTTATTTCTAGTAGGGTCAACATTATGATCAAAAAATTATAGTCAATGAAAGAAGTTAATTGTGGGGCCTATGAGGCAGTTCTTCGCTTTTCCTTCGAACACGAGAACAACGGATAGAATAGAATATGACAATTGAGAAGGTAAGGCTATCACCCGTCAAAGTTTATCTTTCGTTAGAGAGATGCATAAACATTTCAAAGATCGATGTTTTCTATTAATTAGAAAGTCCAATTTCTTGAATAGAGTGCTAAATATTGTTTAACCCGGCGTCTCTTAATTTATGATGTAACTCTCGTATTATATTTTTTCAGATGACCATTTACACGTACTTAATGAAATAAATTTGTTTTAGAAGAAACTTGTCGCGATCAAATTATGCCCTTGTTCGAGCTCCATTTTTTTGTTAATAGATTTTGGAATAGTGATTTTTTAGAGAATGTAGTTAAAAAGTAGAGAANAATTTGTTTTAGAAGAAACTTGTCGCGATCAAATTATGCCCTTGTTCGAGCTCCATTTTTTTGTTAATAGATTTTGGAATAGTGATTTTTTAGATAATGTAGTTAAAAAGTAGAGAATTTCAGTTTACATGTAAAATTATTATATTGAGAGAATATATGGTTGAAAATAAGCTTTCTATCCTTCTATTAAAGATTTGAGATGGGGATGTGATCATGTGATTTTTTTGTTTGAATTAGGAGATTCTTACGTGAAGATATGATGTTATATACCTTGATCATGTTGCTTTTCTCTACTTAATTGTTTCTATTAGTTAAAGATTTGAGATATGGAAAAGAGGGGTTGGGGGTTTCAGTTTCGCTACAGGTACATTAAGTTTGACATCATGGACAACATTGTTTAACGTGACAATACTTTGGGTCATTGATTTTTACGACATTTATTCAAATCAATGACACAATTTTTCACGCATTCATAATGTCATCTAAAAATGTACAACTAGCTTAATTCTGGAGGCTATCATGTGATTTTTCCATTTGAATTGGAAGATTTTGCTTTCTATTTCACTTAGCTGGACCTTAACAAGACCAACAACTTTAGCTATCGTGATACATTTCGTGTCTTTGGGTTGTGTAGGATCGACCGTGACTGAATCTTTTCCTATGGTTCCTATGGCCCTCTAGAGTCGTGAATGACCATCTCAAGAAAATTATAAATCATTTTCTTATCTTCATCTCTAATTTGAGGTACAACAAGACCTCAAGCCCGATAAATTCTTGTAAACTCTCAAGCTGCAATTTATAACATCCCAAAAAATTTCTAAATTGAAAACATCATTTATAATTTTATAAAGAACTAGAACTTAAATAAAAGGAAGAAGTTCTATAAAAAAATATTAAAATTGATTGTCTTTTCAGAAGTAAAAATTTAAAGACCTGTTTGATTTGTGTTTCAATTTTCAATTTTGATTTCATTTTTAGTTTACTTTTTTGAGGGCATGTTTTGGGATTGCTGGAAACACATTTGGTAGGTCATTTTGAAAAATTATTTCTCAAAACAGAAAACAATAAAATACATTTGATTTGAAATTTTGAAACATTATTTTATGACATTTTATTTTATGAAATTTGATTATACAGCAAAAGTGTTAATAAATTATCAAATAATATATACATTTTAAAGTTGGTGAATTTTACAATATTTTTTTTGATGCAAAAGTAAAGTGAAAATAATAATAAATTGAGTTCAAAACATATGAAATAAAAATAAAAATAAAAATTAATGATGTGGACTTAGTATACTTTTATCCGTGTTCAATTTAAATATATTCTTAGAATTTTTATGATTATTTAGTGGTAATAAATTATCAAATAATATATACATTTTAAAGTTGGTAAATCTTACAATATTTTTTTCGCTACAAAAGTAAAATAAAAATAAATAATAAATTGAGTTCAAAGCATAGGAAATAAAAATAAAAATTAATGACATTGACTAAGAATATTTTTATCTATGTTTAATTTAAATATATTCTAAGAATTTTTATGTAAATAATCATTAAGAGTTAGAACTAATTTTGGTTTTTATGTTTATAATTTTATTTTTATTCTTTTTAGTTTTTCAAAATTCTAGATTTTTTTTTTTCATTTTTAAAATTTAAAATTTTATTTTTTAAATTATTTTATTTTTAAAATTTTATTTTATTTAACGCTTGTTTTCTATGCTCTTGAGTGTTTTCGCAATTTTTACTGAAAATACTCAAACGTCAAAAAATGCATCTTGAATTTTATGTTATAAGTTTATATTTATTTTCGAAAATGCATTTTTAGAAATATCATATCAAACAAATTTTCAATAATGTTACTAAAATCGAAACGGATCCTCTGGTCAACAAGAAAAATTGGGAATCAGACCAAAATCCGATCAGATTATAATAAATTAATCGTTTAATAAAAAGTCAATCAATTAACCAAAAAATTGGTAAACTAAATCGAAAATGGGGAAACCAACGACGATTTTAACGATTTGATCGGTTCCCAAAACTTATTGTTTTTCTAAAAAAAATTATTATATAATAAAAAGGTTACCTAGGAGATTGACAACCCATTTACCTATTTTCCCATCCTATGAAACTCTTTTAAACGTATTTCTTCAGTTCCATAATTGATACACTTCCAATGTGGAATCAACAAACTTTAATAAAGCACACTTATTCAATTCACGTTCCCAACTCCAATAAAGCACACTTATTCAATATTATTTGGAGAATTTCATTCTACCATAACTATTCACTTACAGAATAGTTGCAGAAAAAAATTCCTAAAATACCCCCTTATACAAAAATTGCAACTAAAGCCACTATAAAAATATAAAAACTTCAATTAAGTCCCCAAAAAATTTATAAACCAAAAATCTTTGATAGATTTAATTTTAGATATTATTTTTAAGTATCCTTTAATAAAAAATGAGGAAACCTAAATTCCATAAGATGTATAATGCATATAAAAGATTAAGATATAGATTAACTATTAAATTTTATATACATCTCATAAATCATAGAATAACAAAGGAACATATAATAAAATATTTAGAAAATACTAAGAAAATAGGTCATAATTCCGCACGCACTCCGAAATTTGTATCAGAGCCTGTCACGAACCTAAAATAATGATGAATATAATTGATGAAGAAAGTATAATTGATGAATTTTTGAAAAAGGTTGAAAAACATAGAAACTTAGTTATCCTTATTTACCTAAAAAAATACAAATGAACATTTTGAGAATATACACAAAATATTGAAAAATTTAGAATATAATATACAAATAAGAAATGCTCTTTTAGATAAAAATCTTAAGGGAAAAGATAATGTTATAATTAATCCACCTCAAGATTTTATAATAGCACAAAAAAATAAAGATAAAGGAAAAGATCATGAAATAAAACAATATATGATTACACAAGTAGAAGAATTAGAACAAAAATTCTTAGAATCCACTGGTGAAGAATATTATGAATATAAAAAACAGTTAGAAGAGTTAATTGAAAAAATAAAAATACAAAAATGAACACTAATCCATCAACTAGTCATATTATAAAAACAGAATTTAATAGTGATGAAGAATATGAGTATGCTTATGTTACACCAATACCTAATAAAGATGATGTTAATCAATATAGAAAAACACAGAAAAAATACACAAGAAATAAAAGGAAGCAATCCATTAAAGAGATAACCCCAATGAAATCTTAAAATGAACCAATCCATACAACTGGAATATGCTAAGAT